CCCGCACCTCCGACTGGCATCCAATCAGTATTGCTACCGTGTGAACACCTTACTGTTAGTCAGTTAGTACCAATTTGATGGCAAGTACATATAGTGCATGTTTTTCCCTCTTTGTGATATTATCCTGGATAGAGATTGCGCCCATCCTTCGAAGTGAGGTAAACATAGTTTTTTTTTAATAAGTCTCACTAGAATATATGGAGTCACTGAAATTTTTTTCTGACCAGAGAGATGTATATTTTTTAAACCTTGCTTATACCCTGTTACTGAAATTAAGAGACTACAACGAGTAGAGTAACTGTTTGAGGTGCTACAATTCACCCCATCATGCGCTGCTGTTGAACCACAATTAAGAATAACTTTGGTTATATTTCAAGGTATCCTCTCTGTAGCAGTTTCTTTTACATATGTCATATGTAGTTTTTACATATGTAATTTCAGAGGAAACTTTGCTATCTAGTTCATACATCTCACATAAAAGATTGTCAGCTAGAATAGCCAAGTAATTAAGGTTCTCAAAGAGGCAATTCCTTTTGTAATTTTGATGTATCCATCTAAATCAAATCTGAAACATCTTAACAGACAAAAATTCTATTAGCATCTCTTTATCTGAAACTAAAAGTGAATCTCATTAAAGTAATGAGAATGTTAGAGAAGGCAATATAAAAATAAAAGTGAGGAATAAGTAAAACTCATGTTTTTATGTCATAGGTGATATTTTTCTCATAAGGACTATTCCTCAAAAAGTAGCACTGGAAATAATCCAAATGTCCATCAACTAGAAAATGTTTAAACATAAGGTGCTATATTCATGTAATGGAATACTATTCAGCAATAAAAGGGAAGAAACTACTGATACATGCCACAATATGTATAAACCTCATAAACATTATGCTAAATGAAAGAAGCCTGATACAAAAGTCCACATGTTGTAGGATTGTATTTATATGAAATATCCAGAAAAGGCAAACCTTTGGAGACAAAAAATAGATTAGTGTTTGCCAGGGGCTGTGGTGGAAAAGGAGATTAACTGTAAATGAACATGAGGAATCTTATTGGAAGGATTGAGATGTTCTAAAATAGATTTGTGGTGATGATTAGACAACTCTGTAAATTTGCTAAAAATGAAGTTGAAATACATAAATTTTATTGGATGTAAATTATGCTTCAATAAAGCTGTTAAAATAATGAAGGTAGGTAGATAAATTGATTGATAGGTTAATAGATTTGAAGAGAAAAAATAACAGATACCTTATGCTTTTCTAGGAAGTGATCTGATTATTTAATTTATAGATATTCATAAACATATGTGTCAATTGCTTATATCTTAAATCTGTTTCTTCAAATTTCATGCCTCTTTAGCAATAAATGTGTTTTCGTTTCATGAGTTCTTTACAGAAGTATTTATTTTGAGAAATTTGAGGCAGCTGGAGAATAGATATGACTTTTAACTATGAGTGTCAAGGGTCAGCCATTTAGTTTTAGAAACAAAAATCTTTATAGAATCCTAGTAGAGATGACTTAGTGAGATTTTTGAGATGTTAATTTGTGAAACTTCTGATATAAATTTTGTATTTGCAGAAGAGGTACCAGTTCAAATTCCAATGATGAAGTCACCCTTGGACAAGATCCAACTGACTCCTGGGCAGGCATTGCCCCCTGGATTCCCTGGACCATTCATTTTTGCTGATAGTCTGTCCTCCGTGGAGACTCTGTTGACCAACATTCAGGTCAACAATATTTCTATAAACAAAATAAATGTAATACAAGACATTAGCACCTACATAAATTATTTCATATTTGAGAAATTAAAACAGATAAGATGAACTGCATGTCATTTGCTGTACTTTGACAGGGTCTACTGAAAGTGGCTTTGGATAATGCTCGCATCCAGGAGAAGCAGATTCAGCAAGAAAAGAAGGAACTGCGAATGGAGCTCTATAGAGAGAGGGAAATTAGAGAAAACCTTGAAAGACAACTTGCAGTTGAGCTTCAAAGCAGAAGTAAGTTTAACAAGTGCAATTGCCAAGTGAATATTTTGTTGGAGGTGTTTTCAGTAGTAATAAAAAATATTCTCAGGAATAGGTTAGAATTGCTAAAAAGAAATGACAAGCTAAGAATCCATACTGTGTATAAGTCACAAAGTAAGAAACTTATACTCCTCTCTCTCTCTTTATATTAAAAGACAATAAGCTAGATCTGCACTTTGGGCCAGTTGCAGGTTTAGAAACATGAATATTCATAGTTCTCTCACAATTTCATAAAATACACCTGGATAGAGATAATCTTAAAATTCCTTATATATTAAATTCTTACTCTTTGCCAGGCACAGTGCTAGATTCTAGAATTATAAAATGAATAACATTCAGTCCTGTTTTTGAGGGATTTACAATTTAAAAGACTAGAAAAAATAGTTAATTTTAAAACAAAGTGGCAAGAGTAATCATGACCAGTCTATATGGTTATATAGTAAGGGGGTAGTTAGGTTAGTTTACTGGTGGTGGTCAGATGGTTAAGGAAGACTTCCTGACATGAATCTGAGTCTTAAAGTATCAGTAGGCTAAAAAAGAGCATATGAGTACCTGAGTGATTTGGACATTCTAGACAGACGTATCGGTTAGCAAAGGCACAGGGAAAAGAAACTTAATACATCAATGACTAAGTAACTTTTATTACAGTGGCTTTGAGTTTTATGAAATGAATGGTAGGAGAGGATGCAAAATTATGGAGATAGGAACTAACTTATGAGGAGCCTTTTTAACCATGTAAAAGATAAGCTTGGATTTTTTCCTGTAGGTGATGGGAAGCATGGGGATGATCTGGTCTGATTTCAATTGGATAGATCATGCTGGTGTTAGGAATAGATTGGGGGAGGTGAAAAACTAGAAACAAGGAAACTATGCAAAATGAGATTGCTCTCATCCACACAATGGTGGGAGAACTGAATTAGGGTAGCAGAAGTAGGGATGGAGAAAAAGGGGAGAGAATGGAGAAATATTGAATTATTCACAAATAGAATAAACTTTCTAACCATTGGTAGCGATTTTATTATCTACAGCAATGGACAAATCAGACTGGTTCATATCAAAACCACAAAAAATTGGAAATCTCACTTTAGTTAATATTTCTACATCTTCCCTACATTTATCATAAAATACCAAACAGCAGCAAAGGTGACATTTGTGAATTTGAGCTTCTTTCCCTTTCCTGCTTACTTTTCTCTGGAATGGTCATGAAGCCTAAAAATAAGTAAAAAGTTGGAGTGGGAAGAAGTGGCAAACAAAGGGAGATAAAAATCCACAATCTAGATATAACTCCTTGAACTAGGAAGGATGACTCCAGTTGACTGAAATCCAACTAACCTTATATTAATCCAAAGTGGCATGTTATGCTCTGAAATTTGTTTCAAGACATTGAAAATGTACTGTATATTTTCTTTAGGGCCAATGAATCATTGGTTTAGTTCAAAATAGAAATCCAGTCATTGCATT